TATATATATACCTCTATTTTTGTACGGTGTACAAAATTTTTTTTATCTTCAAAAATTAGAGTAGTTTATATGTATTTTTATTTTTATTGATTGTATTTTTTTCCAAAAATTAGAGATACTTTGTTTAAAAACTGTTCTTTTAATAAATAAAGATTTAATACGCAATGTATAAATATATTTATTTTTTCATGTACATCTCCGTGGATAGAAAGGTTATAAGTTTTGGAATATGTTTTTGTTTAATTTTATAATTTATTTTTTAATGGAAATTGGGAGAATTTTTTTATTGGACAAGAAGAATGCATTCCGAAATTTAATTATCAAAAGAGGAACAATATTTCTGTCCATACATATATGATTGTACATACATACAATTATCCCCTTTCTAGTTAAACGATAATTTCCGGCTCATTGTATATAGAATATCCATATGTATATATTATATTCCCCTGATGCTTCGTCGATTTTTATTTAAATTTGGTGGTTGCGACAAAATTCGGTAAACTCGTCTTCTTTACCGACTGTCGACAATACAGATCACTTTATATCCCTCTCTACATTAATTTAACTCTATGGTGTTGATATCTTTCTTCCTTCACAGAAGATCTTCTATACATATAATTTGATCTATGAAAGTGAGGTTATGTCCAGTTATGTTACCATGAGATAAACGCGGGAAATCTGTCAAACACGTAGAAGCGGCAGTGATAATGGCGCAGCGTCGTATAGAGTAAGTAGATCTAATAATTATTTGATAATTTAATATAATTTAATGTATAATAGATGCGACACACAGCTTAGCTAATTAGCATAGCAATTTTTTCCATGTACATACAATTTTGATGTCATTTTTGCAGCTCCTTTTTCACTAAAATATCATCCACGAAGGAGAATTCGAACCAGGATAATTTGGAGAGGTATGTTTCGCTGTTAATAATCTCTCTTCTTCTATAGTAGTCGATTATGCTAAAAATCCTCGCCACGTGCTCACGCTTGAGCTCGCTGGCTCTACCGGCTCGACGGCTGGAGCTTGCAGTCGCAGCTCACAGCCGATTCGTTGTCGTTTTTAATTGGATACATACAACCAACAGTCACAACTCGTCGGACAAGCAAGAGAATCAGGATGCAGTGGAGAATGGCAAACGGAAGAGGGATAGCAGCAACAGCTCCAGCAGGTGATTAAAAACAATACTATGTTAGAGTTTATATGTCGAAAACGATTAAGAGTTATATCATTTTCCTTCGTTTTTAATATTATTTTTCTATAAGTCGTTGGTTTTGCAGTTCTTCACCTTCAAAGAAGCAGAACATTAAACTTAAGAAGCCAAAGACGATTACCAAGACTCCTTCGCCAGGTGTGAAACCTCGTGCGAAGCTAGGTAACTACACTGTTGAGCTGTAGATTTTTCAAATACAATACATCCCTATAATTATCTTCAAGGAGCTACTCCGAAGAATAAGCTGAATAAACTTTCACCCGGGTCGTCGAAAAAGACAGAAAAGAAGCAGAAAGGTACGCCTGGTGGAAAGAAGAAAAAGAAGGAAGAAGATGAAACTGTAAATGGCACTGTAGAAGAGAAGACCACTAACACTGTAGAAGAGAAGACCAATAACGCTCAAATAGGAAATGGTGCAGCTGAAGGTAAAAGGAAAACTGAAGAATCTGCTTTTTCAAAGAAGGAATCTGAGTCCAATACGGCAAATAAGGTAAAGAAGACTGAAAAGGTGAAGAAGAAACGGGCCAGGATCATTGAGCCAGTGGATTCCAGTGACGATGAGGGTCATCTATCTGTATGTTCACAGACTCTTTCAACACTAAAAATCCTAATGAAATTTTAATTAATTTTTATACAAAAAGTTGAAGAAATATTATGATAAATTTACAAGAGAGAATGTTCGTAAATTTTCTCATATCTACAAATTATGGTTTTAGTTACCTGAAAGTCCAAAAAGATCGGAGGTTAACGATGAAGAAAAGAAAATTGAAAGCGAAGACAAGCCTAGCGAGATAAATAACGTTTCAAATAACGACACAGACAAAAGTGCTTCGGACAGTGAAGAGAAGAGTGAAAGTCCGAAGAAGTCCTCCACACCCGAGAAGTCACAAACTACTACTACTAAGGATGAAAGCCCGAAGAAGGAGCCTACGCCTGAGAAAAAGGCTAAAAAAGTGCACAACTTTTTTAGTGAGTATTTAATAATTCAAAAGTATTTTGAAAACATTACAGATTGAAATCAGTGTTTAATGATCGGCCTGACTGGCAATATATTAAAATTTTATTACTGGCGAAAATTTATTTTATTCTTTGAATTACAGATTGATATTTGTATTTTAATGTAATTTTAATTTAAACTGTACAAGCTTCAAAAATTATTCAAACAGTTATATGAATGCTTCGTGTTGCAGTGTCCAAACAAAAGGGCGACGCAAAGGATGACAAAGCGAGCAATAGAAAAAGCGTCTGCCAGTCATACAATCCTAGCGCATCTGCCTATCATCCGATAGACGATGCATGCTGGAAACGAGGAGACAAGTGAGTCCAAATAAAATTTTGTTTTAGAAGATTTAGAAATACTGTAAGAATCCGCGAAACTTTTGTAAAGCTTTAGAGATATTTAAAATCTCTCTCTGTTTGAAATTCATAGAACTCCATATAGCGCCTTCGCACGCACTTTGGAGCTCATCGAGGAGACGAGCGGAAGATTAAAGACAATAGAGATATTGTCAAATTATTTCCGGTCTGTCATAGTCCTGAGCCCTGCGGATCTTCTACCGAGCGTTTATCTGTGCCTTAATCAATTAGCACCGGCGTACGAAGGTTAATAATTGATTATTCAAAAATTCAAAAAAAAAATTTGGTGTTTGTCTAAAGGTAATTTTTTAAATTATAAGTATCAATATAGTTATCGCGTTTTTTTAGGAATTGAGTTTGGAGTCGCAGATCAGAATCTAATGAAAGCCGTAGCGCAGTGTACTGGTAGAACGCTGGCGCAAATTAAAGCCGACGTCCAGGAGGTTGGCGATTTGGGAATTGTCGCGGAAAATAGCAGATCTAATCAGAGAACCATGTTTCAACCGCCACCATTGACAGTTTCTAACGTGTACTCCAAACTGAAGGAAATCGCTCAGATGACGGGGCCCACGGTAATCCACAGAACTATTATAATTATTGTTATTATTAATATGAACATATAAAAGTTATCTCTTTCTAAACAAAAATTTTTCTCACAGCGCTGAAAAAGATTGAATTAAGAATAAAAAATTTAAGTTATTTAAAGAAGTTTAACTTGAAGTTTATACCATAAATTAAAAATTAAATTGTATAAATTAAAAATTAATTGTATTTAAAATTGAACTAAATTAATTTTGATTTTAAGTAAATTAAACGAGAAACATAAAATACTTATATAAAAATAAATAAGTTAGGAACTGCGTATTCTTTGCATGAATAATAATTAATTTTTTTTTCTACAGTCTTTGACGAAAAAGTTGGATAAAATTCAGACGCTGTTTGTGGCGTGTCGTAATGCAGAAGCAAAATACTTCATTAGATCGTTGGCTGGGAAGCTTCGTATTGGATTAGCAGAACAATCTGTTTTGCAAGTAAGTCTCTCGCGATATAACGCTTTTGATTATTATTATTATTATTATATATTATTAAATACCTGGACTTTCTTAGGCATTGGCTTTAGCTTGCGCGATGACACCGCCGGAACAAGATTATCCACCCGAAATTCTGAATGCAAGCAAAAAGATGTCGAGCGATCGTTTCAAAGAAAAGTATGACGAGATAGCGCTTACATTGAAAACAACGTATTGGTAAGATTATTTTGAAAATATTACTATCTATATTATAAATATTAAAACTAATAAATTAGATTAAACGATTTTTTCTAAGTAAAATATTCTCAATTAAAAAGAAAAAAAATATATAGATATGTATATATATGTATATGTTTAACAATATTTTATATATACACTATATGATTATGTTTGAAATGATTAAATTGGTTAAAATAAATTATTTTATTAAAAAATGTTTACTTCTCAATTTAGGGACAAGATATTGTATTAAATATATACTTAAGTTTCTTTCAGTTTTTGCTATTATATATTTTTGCAGTGAATGTCCGAATTACAATCTTATAATTCCTGTTCTACTGGAGGATGGAATTAAGGCTTTACCGAGCAAGTGCAAACTCACTCCTGGAATACCTTTGAAACCCATGTTGGCACATCCTACTAAAGGTGTTCAGGAAGTCCTGACGCGATTCGAAGGCCTGAAATTTACTTGTGAATGGAAGTATGATGGAGAAAGAGCACAGGTTCTCATTTATTTAATTTTGCAAATTTGATAATATAATAAATAAAATTTTATTGTACGTAGAAGGAAATAAGATGTTTGAGAATTAATTCTCCTGAGAACATGATAATTTAGATTTAAGTCGTTTAAAGTATTATAATTCGGCAGATACACGTTGCGGACAATGGACAAGTCAATATATACAGTAGAAATCAGGAAAACAATACAACCAAGTATCCAGATATCATTAAGCGATTCAAAAATACTCGCGGCGATCAAGTAAAGAATTGCATACTCGACTGCGAGGCGGTTGCTTGGGATAGGGAGAAGAAACAAATATTACCGTTCCAAATACTCAGTACAAGAAAGCGAAAGGTAATAATTACATGTTATAATTTTTTTCGTTTAATTTTAATTACTGCTTTGATTGTAATTATTATTAACTTTGTCATTAAATGATTGCAATTGTTAAGATTATAATTGCTATGATTATGATTGTCCTAAAGTAACATTTCATTTTTATTTTTAGGATGCTAATGAGGAGGATATCAAAGTACAAGTATGCGTGTTTATGTTCGATCTGTTATACTTAAATGATGAGCCGTTGGTGAAAGAAACGTTCGCGAAACGTCGTGAACTGCTGAAGGAGCACTTCAAGGAAGTGGAGGGCGAATGGAAATTCGCCAATAGCCTGGATACTACGACGATGGAAGAGGTGGAAGTCTTCTTGGACGAATCTGTGAAGGGAAATTGCGAAGGGCTGATGGTGAAGACGTTGGAAAAGGAAGCAACCTACGAGATCGCGAAGCGATCAAGAAACTGGTTGAAACTCAAAAAAGATTACTTGGATGGTCTCGGCGACACGCTTGACGTGGTCGTAATCGGTGGCTACATCGGCAAGGGAAAGAGGACCGGCACTTACGGTGGTTTTCTCTTAGCTTGTTACGATCAGGAAAACGAAGAGTATCAAAGCATCTGTAAGGTAATGTACCTGAAATATTTCTTGTAAAAGTGAACAGGGACACGTTGTATGATTAATGGAAAACGACAAATTTGATAATTCTTGTAATTTAAGTTTTTACTGTGAGCATATTAAGGCTCGTCCACAATAGCCGTAAACGTATGCAGTAAGACATAAGCAATAAGCTACAAATTTTTACAGGATTTTTACAGTTCAAAAATAATCGACATTGTTAGTCAATTTTTACTACTTACATTTTACGGCTATTGTAGAATGGGCTTTATATTTTGTTTGCTTGGTGCATTACTTCTAGAGCTTATATCGATGTATATTATTTTCTTATAAACAGATCGGCACAGGATTCAAAGAGGAGGAGCTCGAAAATTACACCAAATTCTTCAAAGATCATGTAATACCGCAGGTGAAATCGTACTATCGTTTTGATAGTAGCCACGAGCCGGATCACTGGTTCGAGCCAATTCAAGTCTGGGAGATCAAGTGTGCCGACATCAGCCTCAGTCCCGTACACAGAGCGGCTATCGGAATAGTGAGTTTTCCCAAAGCAAGCATTTGTAAAAATATGACTGACCGTAATTGCGCTAAAAGAAATTGATATTGCGTGACGTAATTAATTTACTCCCGAAAATCTTTTATCCACACATCGAACATTTCTATCAATTAAACAGAGATAGAAGCTACAATATTTATGCAATTAATTCTTCCTTGGAGTTTTTTTGAAATTTTTCGAGCTCCTTTAATAAGTTTTGTTCTGGTTCAGGTCGATCCGGAAAAGGGACTATCTTTAAGGTTTCCGCGATTTATCAGGATTCGTGAGGATAAGTCCTGCGAGCAGGCTACTTCCGCTCAAGATGTGGCGGACATGTACAACAATCAAGAGCAGATTAAAAATAAAACTTCAGCATCGAAAACTGCGGAGGAAGATTTCTATTAATTTGTTTTCTTTTTTATGTCGCGACGCACAAATTGAGCCAGTAAATCATGTATCTTTTATTTTATAATCATTATTTCTGGGGATCGATTCTGTATCTTGGGACGAGGTGAAAATTATAAAAGTGAGGAAATTCACTAGAGAATCTACAATTTCATTTGTCGAAATCTAATAAATCTGTTCACTTTTGTAATTTTCACCTTGTTCCAAGATACAGAATCGACCCTCTCTGTAGGAGTTATTGTAAATAAAACACGTTTGATATGGCATACAAATTCTGTAATTTTCATTCGTGTTGCGACATCTGACATTTATTTATTATACTAATGAAAATTAATTTTGGAGAAGGATTAATTAATATTTTATTTATTGACCCCATACGCGCCTGGTCCCTTGCGCTTGTTCAAGACTTTATAGGCAAATGCTATTCTCGATATACTTAAGGCTACTTTTCCTAAAAAGTTGCTAAAAAATTGTCTCGCATATTTGTCATGTTACGTGGAATACGAAAAGTTAACTTACCACAGTCCACTTTTTCAATAATTGAAAATGGTCTAGTTCTTTATAGAATTTAGAAAAAGATAAAAGTAAGTGCAGTTAAAAAATAAGTTTGACAGTTAATTTTAATTAATCATTTATTTTTACATTACGTAGTTAACCGACATAAATAAATTGGATGAAGTTTTTGTGCGAAGTCTCGTTTGTATTTTGCATGAATTAATTATCATAGGATAATCTAAATATTTTTTTAAACTGATATCTCGGCTAACTTCATTCGAATGTATCTTGGGTCTGTTCGCGTTGCTTGCACTTTTCGCACTCAGCATCTTCGCTTTCTCTCTCTCCAACGGCCGAATATATATTTATCTCATTTTAAGTGCAAAAATGTTTGGGGATTTCAAGCAACGCGAACAAGCCTCTTCTTCCAATCGCAAGTCGCATTCAACGCGGATGTCGCGGACGGCCACCGTTGACAGCACTGTCGCGAGAGTGATCAGTCGACACTGGGCGCGTTTAGCAGACCAAGCTGCTGAGTAGCAGTCGAACGTGATTGGCTCTTACGTTTAGAACCAACCAATCAACGCAGAGTGTTGATAAGACGAACTCAACAGTTGTGTCTGCTAAACGCGGCCACTATCGACAGTGTCGACTCATGTCGACTGACTACAGTAAATACAGTTGACTACAACCAATTACAACTTCAGACCGGTGCGCGGTGATCCTGTCGAGCCGTCGAGTCGATCCCGATCAGTCGATGCAATATGCGACGCGGTACGTTTGCGACGTTCGTCGCGCGAGTTTGAGCCGCACGAGCACGGTGTACGCGTGCATGGTGGCCGCGTTCCTTAACGAGGACCTGTTTCGGATTCGCATTAGTTGTGTGAGTAAACGCGATACATTTTTATTCTCTCGCGCGAGGCGAACGCGAACGCACGACCGTACGCGGGGCGTCCATGGCGGCGGCGGCGGCGGCGGCGGCGGGCGCGACGTCCCGCGCCGTTTGCACACGGCATGTTTCCGAAATCGCTCCGATAATCTCTTCCCACAGCCCTGGGAATCGAAACCAGTGTATGATCGGTATGCTTTTGGACGAGGGCTCGTAGCGAATTTCGCTCGTCACTCGCGCTACTCCGCGCTCTGGAGCGTCTTGATGTCCCGAAGACATATTTTATATACACGAAGTCGCTCAATGAGAGAAACGTGAGCATCTTTGACCGATGAGATACCCCGCGTCGATGTTATCGTATTTTTTCTTTCTTAATGGAACGTATGTACGTACGTTGGGTACTTTATTGATCAAGATGCTTGTTACGCTTTTCCATTTAGGGAGGTTTCGACCAAATCGCGATTAACTTGCCGATCAATTTAGGAATGAGTGGATTACGATCTAATTGTTCGATTTCAAAAGCTTATAATTTGGGACCAAAATTGAGACAGAGTGAGGTAGCGCGGATCTTTTTTTTTTTTTTCAAAGCATAATTAAAATTCAGAAAGATTGTGTTTAGAGAAAAGCATTGATCGAGATAAGAGAAAGTCAATTATATAACTAGGAGGATACAGAAAAGACGATTCAAATATGTTTGCTCAGCGATGAGAAAAAAAGAAACAGAGATAAATTTTGTTCTATGATTTTGTAGTTTTACCTTCCTCCTTAAGTTAATCCAGAATTTTGTCAAAGTTACTCTTAAGATGACTTTGATTAACTTAATTGACAATTGCCTCATCAATTTGTATAATTTTGTTAACGAGGATAGAATAATTAATTTTGTTGTTTAGCATATGGAAAAGGAGATTA